GTCCCAACGACGTTCGGATACGTTCCAAATATGTTTCAAATACAAAGGAATACATTGAACACACCCTTTCTTGGAACCAATGCACCTCATTTTAGAACTTCTATTTCCCAAAAAGTAATTAATCGAAATTAAAAATATGTTTTAATATGGCGTTTACATTGGCCGAAAATGGCTCATTTTGGTCAAAAATCGAAAATGAGTATCGAATGGCTCATTCTTGCATATAAAATTTCAAGCACAAAAATGAGCAATTTTCTCACATTCTGTATGAAAGACGTTCGAATGCATTCCACATATGTTCCAAATGCAAAGGAATCGTTGTGGAACGAGTGGCCCGTGGTTAAAGGTGAAGAGGCTTCTTCTGGGCATGTTTGACAGTTTGAACAAAACGCTGTTCTCTCCTCATTTACAAAAAAAGCGTAAACAAATGTCTTGCGTCGTTGCCATTTTCTTTTTGCACAACACGCACCTTGCACTGCTTCTTTAGAAACTCCTCTTTACTTGCGCGCCGCAGTAAGTAATTAATCGAAGTTAAAAATATGTTTTAAGTTTCTAATGTAAGGTTTGAAGGCATATTTAACCTTCATGCAAAATTTTTTTGGCACATGAGCCATTTTCGGCCAGTGTAAACGCCATATTTGAAGTTTAAAAATTATATAGACGAATTTATTCATAAAAACGCAACTGAGTTTTGGCCTCAAATACCCCACACTACTCCAACCCAACCTAACCAACCCAATCTAAACATTTCATATTATATGAAAAAATAAATTTTTAAAAAGAAAAACGTTAATTATTTATTATACTTATTTATTATACATAAATCCTTTAAAATTGAAAGGAATTGTACATCAAGAGTTTTATTCATATTTTTATTCATTTTCTACTAACCAAATCTATTAAAAACATTTCACCAAATTCTACATTTTTCTTCTTTCTTATTCATGTCACTACCCAGAGGACACTCATAAACCTTAGAGAAATCTTCCATATTACTTAGTGTACCCAAAACTCTATATTTGTCCATAGGGTGTTCATCGATTAGTTGTTTCCAATAGTGTTCTTCTTTATACGACGCACAATATAGTTGTGCAAATCCTACAAAGAACAATTGTTCTGGTGATAAATTTAGACCAAGCATGTCTTCATCTTTAAATGTTGTCACCAGGTCACCTTCCTTATTCAATTCCTTCATATATTTGCGGTACGAATTAAGTGCGGCACGAAGTCCACCATTATCTGCTATATTCTCATCTTTGGTTAGATTTCCGTTAATTTTGCGATTTATTTCTGGTATTAAATAGTCATTAAAATGTTGAACATAACAATCTGTGCGATTATCAAATACTTTTTCAGTTTTTTTCGTCCACCAATCGCGTTCATCACCATTGCTATCATAGTGTGCTCCAACTGTATCAAAACCGTGTGTAAACTCATGTCCCACAAGATATCCTAATGTACCGAATTTCAAAGAATTTGGCCAGGATTTATGATAAGCTGGCGGATGCAAAATGCCCGCCATTACATTTATTGAGTTGTCGATATTATAGTAAAAAGCATTGATTTGCTTGCCTATCATTAATTCTAGAGGCTTTGTTTCATTACGAATGTCTTTATTATGGAGACCAAGATATCGGTTCATAAATGTTCTAAATCTCTTTAAATTTATATTATTCGGCTCATAGTTGTCTGGATCAAAAGTTAGGCTATTTATTTCATGAGACGTTTAGACATAACCGGGTCATCGAAATTACCAATTCGTGCTTCTATTGTGGATTCTTTTAACAAAGCTTCAGTGCGTGTTTTTTCATCTAACCATTCTGCTTGTTCTATTTGTTGGCGTACACTTTTCTGTATCTCCTGAACCAATGTGGTAATTTCAGTTTTTATTCCTTCATTAAAATATTTCTAAATATGAATACTCGTGATTTTCAATATCTGTTGTAGAATTCTTTAACAGATAACAGTGTCACTTACCTCTAAATAAAGCTTATCGATCAAAAATCGAAAAGTATACTGTATATCCATGAGACAGTACTCCTTTTGGAATTCTTTCTTTTTAAGTTTAGCGTCCATTCTGTATAAAAATTTGAGTGCTAAATAATTCGCTGCAGCTTCTTTGTGTTCATCACAGATGGTGTTCAACTTACTATAAAAATAATTGCATGGATATTCTGTAACGGACTCATCGAATTCTTGGCCCATCCAAGCTATATCAAAATAATCACTCCAAAAAGTAAATGGTTCTACATCAGAATTTGCGGAAATTATGTCGCACTTATCGATATCCTCTTCGAATTCATCCATTACTTTTAAGATTGCTCGCCAAAAATCAAAGATTTCATCTACGATTTGTGATATCTTTTCCTCTTCTACTCCATATGCACTTAAGTAGTCTCGAATGCGCTTTTCATTACTTATATAACATTGCGTCGTATTTGAAGCTATATTGTCACTGTGAACTACATAATCAAAACCTAAATCAGGTAATTTAAAATAGGGTCCGAATGGGTATTGTGGAAGAAGAAACTCATTGATTAATCCATCAGCATTGAAGTTGGTAAGATGAGCACTCATATTAAACCAACTAAAGTTGTCTGATTGCCATGCTTCATCTACAGCTGGAAAACCCCCAATCGATTTGATGACGTCAATATATACTTGCGACATTGTTGTTGGGTATAAATTTGCTGATAAGCACGACTGATAAAACTGTTGGACTAATTCAAACTCATTAACATATTCATCTGTTAAATTTTCAACAGAATCATTTAACATCTCTTCTACGGCATCGTTCAATTTACACTCAATATCAACAATATTGCTTCGTCTGCGTTCCACCGGCCGTTCTTCAATAACATTTTTCCAATTCCCGCAAGCATACTCATAAAAATTTTCACACGGATTCACACTTTCATTCATAAAAGTTTTCATTAACTTTGCATATTCAATTCGGTACTGTAAATCTGTATTTTCTGGCACATTTACAGACACATCATTCTCTATTACGTTGTTGGATCTCGCAAAATCAATTGAGTCCGTCGGTTTCGAGATAACCCACATTACCTGGACTAAGAGCAGTAATACAAGCACACGTGACTTCATCACTGAATACACTTTTACTTTCTAATGTGATAAATTATTGATTTCACGGCTTTGCGAATGATACTTTTGGTACTAAAGTAATCTAGACACAGAGCAACATAGATTATGGAATCATCTAACACAATTAAGAGTCAAATTCTAACTAATTGAACTCAAATCAAATCAAATCTTATGTCTTATGCTTTTACTTTGAAGATCTTGAACGAGTACTTATCTGTGCAAGCGGAAGACCATCAAAGATCATTATGTTTATTATCTTTGCAAGTATCAGTTTCTGTTTTGGTGTTGAGTCTACAAATTGGCACAACTACTTTATTAATGAGCCAATAAATTCATCCATTTATCAGTTTACTAAATCAGAATTATGATTCATTGAACTTGACCTATGCTAAGCACTAAGCATAGGGTAATTAAAAAGATTAATTTCGAGTTCTTGAGCAGAATATCGAAAACGTAGAATTCTCGATAGTTTTGTGTTTAAGTATTTCTGGTTAGGAACAAAATTTTGTTATCAAATAAAGTCTGAAATTAGATTTCAATTGATGAGTTTATTAAAATTTTTTCGGCCTATATTCATTTTCTTAAACTCTTAATGGCGTTAAGCAAATAAAAGTCCTTGATTATCATAACTTTCTTGGCATTTTATACTCGTATACATCGAGATATGTACAGACTTGTTTTGTACAAATCTTAACTTTGACTTTAAATATGCTGAGTCATTTCAGTGCAAGTCATATTTTGTAGAAGAATTTCACTATTCACATGGTAATGCACTTAATCTTCCATAATCTAACTCGGACGGGGTTTAAGTTGTTATGGTATGTGGTGTTCTATTATAACAATAAGTATAGTATGGCAAGATATGTTTCCAGTTATCTTTTTCTAGCGAATCTCTAAGACATTCATTCAACATCCTATCATTTCGTTCTACTGTTCCTATTGTTTCATGATAACATGGTGTTGAAGTTCGCTTTTCTTAATTTAGTTCTTTACATATTCGTTTTAAAGGTTTTAAGACCTCCATATATAAGTATGAATTCTTTACCATTGATTGGTAATTCTTTATCATTGACTGCAGTAGCATTTTTATTTTTAATTGGTATTTCTTTAATCCAGGATTAGAAAGAAATATTCTTGTAACAACTCTGGCGGTCTGTAAGCTATTCCAGCTACAGCCGTAAATAGGTTCATTACAATATAAATGATCAAATGTATCAATTATCAATATCAATATTTAATTTTTTTTTGATGATTATTTTTAAAGTGAAGTTTATAAAATCTTACAAAAGTTCTATCAGCTGTATAATGTGAACATTCACTCATTAATAGGTGTATTCTTTTGACATGAATGCTCCAATAAAATAAATAAAAATTAACATGCAAACAAAATTCGCAAAAATCAGCCCACTTTTCTGAAAGTGCCTCTCACACTACAATGGTGTCATATCTTTAAACTGATCTATTGTTTTCTATTGATTTTTGGAAGGAAATGGAAAACTCCAGTCTGCTGTTAACTATTTACAACTGTTGCGTGTGTTAATAAGGAAATTTAAATATTTTAAAAAAGTAATTTGTTTTAGTAAAATTTTTAAAAAAGACTAACAGGTTAGTAATTGTGAAGAAGTTAATTATTTGTTAAGGAATTTTTAATTTCTGTATTTATGTTATTAAAAAGAGCAATACATGAATAAATACAAAACACATTCTTCAAAATAAAAGTAAAAAGTTATAAGACAATTGCAAGAAAAATAAAATAATGTTATACGGCATTTACACTGGCCGAATATGGCTTATTTTGGTCAAAAATCGAAAATGAGAAGCGAATGGTTCATTCTTGCATACAAAATTTCAAACGCCAATGAGATTTATTGGATCACATTCTGTATGAATGCGTCCCAACGACGTTCGATTGCGTTCCAAATATGTTTCAAATGCAAAAGAATACATTGAACATACCCTAAATAAAAGCTTTTCATGACATTTTGACAGTTTGAAAAAGCTGTTTTTAACATATTTACAAAAAAAGGTAAACAAATGTTTGGTGGTTGCATTTTCTTGAAAACGATGCACTGCTTTTTAGAACTTTTACTTCCCAAAAAGTAATTAATTGAAGTTAAAAAAATATTTTCAGTATATATTTTAAGGTTCGAAATGAGAACAAATGAAATACAACGAATGTAAACACTTTCAAATGGCTCATTCAAAACGAGCCATTTTCGGCCAGTGTAAACGCCATATTACATTGTGAGATTAAAACAACGAGATTAAGTTAATCTGCATTTTTAATTTCCACCGTTTACATTATACATTGGATATTAATTTTGTGTTTTGTTTCAAGTGTTTGATAAATTTCTGTAATAAAAGCATTTAATTTCAATTTCATACAACAAAATTTGTAATACAAATTTAATAAATAGTTTTATAACAATAATTTAACAAATTTTAGTTATAATTGTGTATAAAACGAATATTAAAAAAATTTAATAGAAACTTTACCCACTTCGGAATTTTAAAGTTTTCAATGTTTGTTTTAAATAGATTTTGACATTTCTTTTTAAATTCTTCTAAGATATTAAAACATTTGCAGAGTTACACAGAGAAATAATCACCGTTTCTAAGCGGATTAAAAATTAATCGCGATCAAAAGGAGATCAAATTTTGTATGAGAAATCTGAGATTAAAGAACGGGATTAGTAATTTAATCTCGATTATTGCTTTAATCTAGTTTTATTCTCACAATATAAACGTCGTATTGAGATCTTGATTAAAACTATATTCTAAAATGCTTTAATTTACTGTTAATCAATCACAGAGTGTAAACTCAACGTCTCGTGTGATATTTATTCAGCATAATTGCGCTTAATTAATGAGAATGAAATAGAAATTATAGAGTGTAAACACTTATTAAGTGTTATTAACCGTAGTAATTAAGAAACAATTATATGTTAAGTTAAAATTGTAAAATTTGAGTAAAGTAAAGTAAAGTAAAGTAAAGAGATGGTCTTTATTAGATTGCAATGCATATTTTTAAAAAATTGTTTGTGATTTGGTATACATAACAAATATAAATAAATAACAAAATTCTCAGGTTAGGACAACTATTCTATACACCTAAAATCACTTTAAATATCAAATCTTCTATTCAATAATTTTTGGCATGAAGAGAATAAGGAAAATGCTTTACATCAATTAGGTTAGGAAAGTTATTCCAGAAATTTAGAATCACTTTGAATATTGAATCTTCGATTCAATAATTCTTGTCATGGAGAGAAAAAGAAAAATGCTTTAGATCTCATCGCATGCACAATAAAAATAAAATGCTAAAAACTAAGAAGAATTGATAAAAGCTTCCAGTTGGTTTTTAAGTCTTGGGATTGTATACAATAGCAATAACTAATAGACATAAGTGGATCGGTATTATTATCTGATCTAAAATGTGTCAAATTGAAATGATACCTATATTTAAAATTTTCTTGTTTTCTTTCTTCGTTACGAATTCGCCTAAAATAATTTCTATGTAGGAACAATAATTCTCCATAATATTTTATGGCCGTACGAATTGTGTTTGACAGCTTGTAGTTTTATATTTTCACCACGAAGGATTTATTTTAGTACAGGGTGGTTTTATAACATTTTTATACTAAAAGTTTTTTATTACCATACGGTATTTTGCAATACAATAGTAATGATTATTTTTAACTTAAAAATGTCACATATTATCTAAAAATTATTAATATTTCTATTAATATTAATATATCATATTTTAATGCCATCTTATAGCAACTTTTAATATCTAATAAACATTTAGAACAGTAAAATATTTTCTAAAAATATTCCTTAAAATATCAATGCATGGAAGAATTATATGTAAATTATTTTATATGTTTGTAAAAGTTTATAATTTATTAATTTAATGCATAAAATTAGTTTATATAAAGTTTTGTGAAACTTTTAGTTTGCATATTCATAGCCTCAAAAAATAAAATTTCTCTTTAATCTTTTAAAGTATTTGCATTTGTTATTATTTATTTAGATTTGTATTTATTTGTTATTAAAAAATACTTTATAAGTTCTAACATAAACAATTTTAGAAATTTTTTAAAAAAATCTATTGACATTGTATAATAAGAATTGAATTTTCCCAATTGGAAAATGTATGATTCCATCAAAATTGCGCAGTTTTTATTTAAAAAAAAAAATGTTAATTAAGAATTAAAAAGTATAATTAAATTATTATTCACTAAATATTAGTGTAGTTGAAAATTTGTACATTAATAAAACATTAAATTTATACGTAATTATATTTGGTATAAATAATTTTAAAAAAAGTATTAGAATATCTTAAAATAATATAATAAAATAAATTAATTTCCATATTTTGTTTACGCAAATACATATATAAATATAATTGAAATTAATTTTTGTGCTTATGAAGCGTCGCACTTAATCGAAACTTTCGATTTCAAGAACAATTCGCAAAGCTTCGCCATTTTTGTAGAATTCCCTTTCACACTAGTTTATCGCATTTCATTTTGTGGTCGTGGTGTAACCTTACGCATGTTCGTATTTTCTCAGTTGTTATGGTTAAATGTTAGCTGCTCAGATTTGAAGTCAGTATATTAATCTTCCAGAAAAAACGCAATCGCTGTATAAATTAAGAAAATAATAATTAAATTCCATAATGGAAGTATCAGGGAATAATCGATATGAATTATTATTCATGGACGACGATGGAAGCGCTCCTGCACCGGCAAAGACTGAACCAAAAAAGAAACAGGCACAGCAAAACGCGGATCCATCGGCAGCTGCTGCCAAAAAAACGGTGACGAAAAAAAGCAATGTTGTAGCAGAAAAAGAAAACAAATCTAGTGCATTAAATAAGAATACGGTTGGAAAGAGTGTTGTCCCTAATAATCAAAATGCAAAACCGAAACAAAACCCAAACCCTGCAGGAGGTAGAAATAAAAATGCTAGTGCAAATGAAGATGGCGGTCGCAGTGTCACCTTTAGACCACAAAACGGCGAGGCGCGAGAACAACGGAATAACCGGCGGAACAACAACAGCAACAGAGAAGGTGGCTATGGAAATACAGGAGGCAATGAATACGGCAATGATCAACGTCCCCCCCGCCAGTTCAGAGATCGTGAAAATAGAGGGCCACCACGCAATCGGACAAATGGTGAAGGTGGATACAGAAAGCGGGAATTCGATCGTCAATCTGGCTCCGATAAGACTGGTAAGAAAAAAAAATGTGATCAATTGATAACGGAAAATTGTGATCGAACGCCATTTTATATAGCGCGCAACACAGTACACTTTTCAAAAATAGTTTTTATAGTTTTTTTCTTTTTTTTTTTTCATTATTTTCATTATTTTTTAGTTGTATGTAAATATTTATAAATTTATTATTAAGAGTGACTACATTTAGGATTTGCTTTTATTCTTAATTTTATTCTTAAATTGTTTTGTAAGGAATTGAAAATATGTTTGGAATTGTTTTCAGGTGTGAAAGCTGTTGATAAACGTGATGGTGCTGGTGCTCATAACTGGGGTTCAGTTCAACAGGAAATTAAGGATTTGAACAAGTCGACCTCGGATGGTGATGCTGCTTTAACGGATAAAGAGGAATCTGCTAATGACCAATCAGCTGAACTTGCAAATGTTCCGGAAGAAGAAGAAGCCAAAGAAATGACGTTAGATGAATGGAAGGCATCTCGTAAGGAACGCGCCAAGCCACAATTTAATTTACGTAAAGCTGGTGAAGGCGAGGATACATCTCAATGGAAGAAAATGGTTGTATTGACTAAGAAAAAAGAAGGCGATAGTGAGGAAGAGTTTGAATATGATCCATCTATGTATCCTCAACGTGTTGGACGCTTGCAACGTATTGTAGATATACAATTCAATTTTAATGACAATCGTCGCCGTCGTGGACCTAGGCCAGGAGGCGATAGACCTCGGTTCGAAGGTGGTCGCCCTGGTCCAACAGGAGAGAACAATCGTCCTCGCAATTTTGGTGAGAGACAACGTGGAGGTGCTCATGCTCCCAAAGTAGATGATGAGCGCCAATTCCCCACTTTAAGTTAAGCATTTCTCAACTTTAAATTACCCACCATTTGTTTAATTTAACACTTTTCATCTTTTCATTTTTATTACTTTTTAATTAATGAGTACTAAATTTGTTAATTTTAATCATGAAATTAAAAATTTCGTAGTTACATGAGTCCATAGCAATTGAGACCGACCGTAAGTCACTTATATTTCGCAACAATTGCCTGGCTCCTGTACACGAGTTGTGTAACTTTTAAGTTAAACTGAGTAACTAAGTGGAATAGCCGCCACTAAAATAAAGCATTGTTTATAAATAATGAATTATATTATTCATAATAATAACCTTTTTGTAATTAAAAATTATGGACGTTTATTGAATTTGCCGGTCTTATTTTAATTTTATAAAAGAACTATTGAAAATAGTTAAACACATATATGAATACAGTAAATAAAAGTTTAAACAACAAGACTGTTCGTTTATTAGTCGTAGTCGGAAAGTGGTTTATACTTCCATACTACATTATTCTGTAGATTCATAAATTCTTAGGAAGGTTTCTTAATTTAATTTTCTTGTAAATGATAAAAGGTCTGACTGTAGCGGTGAACTGCACACAGACGATCCTTTTGAACCATAATTTTAGTTTAAACAACAAGACGGTTCGTTTATTAGTCGTAGTCGGAAAGTGGTTCATCCTTGCAGACTATATCATTATGTGGATTCGTAATTTCTGGGAAAGGCTCCTTAGTAGTTTGTTTTTCTTGTGAATGGCAAAGCTCTGATGATAGCGGTGAACTGCATACGGACGCTCCATGAGCCATAATTTCATTCTCAATTTGGTCAATGGCTGTATTTAGTTCCTCAGCAGTATATTTCTTCCGCTGAAACACGGAAGCATTGTGAGAAACAACTGGATTCACGGGTTCTTCTTTTATATGTGGAACTGTTGTTTGCGTCTGTAAGTGAATAATTTGCATTTTTAGAACTGAATGGGTAAAATGAGTTTCTATCAAAATTACTATAAAATGGGTATATTCTGGAGATAGGGCTTCTAATTGCAGTAAACGATCTTCAATATTTTTTAAACGTTCATAAATCATTTTGGTACCATTCTCACTTTGTGTGTCATAAGCTATGTTTAAATGACGCTCTAAGTTTATAAGGCGTTCTTGGATTGGTTCGGGTATTTCACGTTTTACTTCAACATTAACATTCGGCATAGATTGGTTGTTCTCTAAAAACTCCTGCTTTATATATTTTTCTTTTATAGGGCTACTCATTAATTTGCGTAGAGTATTTTGATAATCGGGTTTTGTTTGAGGGCCATGTAGATTCTTAGATCGGCGAACTATAAATTAACTAATTAATTTTGCATTATCTAAACTTTTGTAATTACCTTTAAGAAACTGGCTCAAATTCTTTCGCGATACATGGCAATCGGTACGTGCACATGTTGTAAATTCATCAGTTCTATCATTATTCAAAACACTGTTTTCCCCAAAAAATCTTATATTATTATTTTCATTTATATTCTCCCGTTTTGATTTTATGAAACATTCCATTCGCCTTTTTATTTCATTTTCATCTGCTTTAATTTGAACTAGGTGGTCTGGAACAACTATTGAAGAATCAATTTTGAATGCTTCTAAATCCAATTTTGGTTTGTTCTTCAATCTTTTCGAAATGGCTGCATTTAAAAAAATACAAATGTCAACTTATACATTTTTATTGCATAAAATTCAATTTAAAATGAAACAAAAATAACATTAAAATTAGTAACAAGGATCTTTACTAAGCCACTGACATTCTTTATTTTCTTTCCAAGACGATTCGTCTGCATCGTATTTTTCTTTCTTCCATATTGGTACACGTTTCTTCAATTCTTCTATTGCAAATGACACTGCATCTAAAGATGATTGTCGATGTGGAGAAGAAACGGCAATTACTACACTAGCTTCACCAACAGGCACGAGACCAATACGATGATGAAACACTATGTTGACTACATCCGACCAATGAGTACGCAACTCTTCACATATAGTTTCCATTTCTTTGTTGGCCATTGGTGCATATGCCTCATATTCCAATGAAATTACCTAAAACAAATATAAATCGTATTATTATTATGTGGTTTTTAAGTAAAGCGAATAGAATGTATACACTAAAAAGATTACAACTACTTAACTACATATATATTTAATGTATATTGCGTATATATTATTTCAGCGTATAGAATACACCTAATAATAATATTTAATTACATTCAAATTAAACTACTATTAAGAAGTAATTAATCTGCTCACTCACCGTTTTACCATCGAAATTATTGCGTGTAGTGCCAACAAAAAGTGATATAGCACCACATGTATCGTGACTAGCTAGCTTATTGACGGCAGCGAGGTCAAGTGGTTCTCTTGTTAATAATATATGATTCATATTTTATCCGCCACTAATGGGAGGTATCACAGCAATCTCGTCTCCTTCTCTTAACTCCAGTACTTCCTGTGAAAAATAAAGCATATAAACATTTGATAAAACCACATATCGGAATCAATAAACCTGCAAATCACAATAACGTTCGTTTAACGCTAATATAATATTCTGTTGAATTATATTTAAATTAAATTTTGAGCAGATTTCATGCAACAATTCAGATGTTAATATACTGGAATGGTCAAGTGATAAAGATGCTGTATCCAAGCCAGATAATTCTCGCGTTTTCGCAAAAAATAATATTCGAACGTTTACGCTATCATCAGAACTCATGTCATCATCAGTTACATCAAAACCGAGAAGTGGTGTTATAGTTAAAAATTATATTGTGAAATTTAAAACCTGTAGCTTAGATAAGATAAGATTGTTTTTAATTAGTGGATTTTGCTGTCAATTGACGTTTCAACAAAAAAGGCTACCATCCACGTTGTACATCAAAATGAAAAATTTGTTACATGCTTGAATGCTTGATAACTATCGTTTTATATACTATTTTTAATACATTCAGTTGCATATAATATAATGTTTATATAAATGTATATTAATGTTAATAAAATTAATACTTTAGCAATATATTAAAATAATAAAAATTGTTAATATTAAAATTAAATATTTTGTTATTATTTTTTTCAAGGCTATTATCCAGGTTTTTCAAAATCTTTTATGAGTTCATACATCATCACGTGATAATAAGTTTTTAAAGACATTTGTACTTAATGATATATCATCCAATATTCAAATGATTTAACTTGCTTTCAATTTTGTAAATTTTAAGATTAAGTGTACTATTGTTTAAACTAGCGCAAAATCTAAACGAATTGTTTGGTAATTTATACCCAGCACAGAATGGTGATATATTGTGGGACTGTAAAATGGAGGATGATTTACCATAAAAAAATCTTTCATATAAATGTGCTCATTGTCAATCAATCTTAATAAATATATAAATGAATTATTTAAAGCGGAAATTGTCGAATGCAATCCTTATATATAAATTTCCCACAAGAGAAATTAACTAAAATTGAAATATTTGTCAGATATTTCATATGTAAAATGTAAACAAACAACAGCTGAGCTGTAAACAAAGGCACTGAGGAAGTAAGTATTAATGAAATCGTTGTTTTTATTAATTGAATACATAATTGATATATTAAATTTATATAAATGAGTGACATATTATTTAGTGAAGTTTATAAAAGTTCTACCAGCTGCATACATGATCTTTTTATAATGTGAATTTTTTCTCAATAATATAAATGACCTAAATGAGACAATGGGAATGTACGGTGAACACGTGGGCAATTATTGGTAAAATGCTTTATTATATATATCTAATAATAATAAAAGTGGTTATTAATTATTGGTAATTTTTTTGTTGATTTCATATTTCAAGTCCTATGACTCATGATACTATCAACATCTGGAATAATTTCATCATACACATTTTTTAGTAATTATTTCTTAAAATTGTTTATTATTCTGTTTTATTCTGTAGTTTCAATGTGCGTAGTATTAACAAATATATATATTTCATCTAAAACATTGAACAGCTGTCACTTTAAAAAAATATTTGTTTTAGTTTTAGAATTTTAAAAGCATTTATCGGTTTGGTTGGGCAACACTGGTTTTGTAAGTGCAGGTTGCGTGTGCATTTAAAACAATTTTAATGTTTAAGTTTTTGTTAAATGATTAAATTTTGCTATTAAAATGAAGACTAGATTCAATACTTATGATATTGTTTGTGCCGTCACCGAACTGCAAAAGTAGGTTCACAAAACATGGAAGCGAGAAGCTATTTTCATATTTCATCATATTTTTTAGGTTGGTCGGTATGCGTGTGAACCAAATTTATGACATAGATAACAAGACGTACCTTATACGTCTTCAGGGGACTGAAGTTAAGACAATGCTTATTATGGAGTCAGGCATTCGATTTCATAGTACGGCTTTTGAGTGGCCTAAAAATATGGCTCCCTCTGGGTTTAGCATGAAGCTACGCAAGCATTTGAAAAACAAACGTTTGGAAAAGCTACAGCAATTAGGCGCAGATCGTATAGTTGACTTTCAGTTTGGTGTAGGAGAAGCGGCTTATCACATAATTTTAGAACTCTATGATAGGGGCAATATAATACTTACGGACCACGAACTTACTATACTTTATATACTTAGACCCCATTATGAGGGTGAAGAAGTACGATTTGCGGTTCGAGAAAAGTACCCAACAAATCGTGCTAAAGAAGCTAGTAATCTACCAACTGAAGAGGAATTGCGTGAAGCGTTAAATCAAACACCTTATGGAGAAAATTTGCGCAGAGTACTTATGCCTTTAGTTGATTGTGGACCTGCAGTTATTGATCATATATTAGTGAAACACAAATTGGATAACTGTGTTGTTAACTTTAATAAAAATGAGGATGGAGATGGAGCTACTGAACAATTAGAGGGCAGTAAAAAAGGACGTAAACAAAAAAAGAAAGAAATGTCTAAAGTTGCAACAAGGCCTTTCGAAATGGACACTGATATTCCCACATTGATGGAAGCACTAAAAGTAGGTCTCATATTGTGATTATTTAAGACTAATATTAATAAGTAATTTTATTAGGATATGTATAAACTGTTAAGTGACGGTCGCACTGACACATCAAAGGGTTATATAATACAAAAAGCAGAAGAAAAACCTTCAAGCGACGCAGCTAATGTTGAACATTTCTATCAAAATATTGAATACCATCCATATTTGTTTGCTCAGTATGAAGGACAACCGATGGCTTCCTTTAATACGTTTATGTTAGCTGTTGATGAATTCTATTCTAAAATGGAAGGTCAAAAAATTGACTTGAAGACATTGCAACAAGAGCGTGAAGCCTTAAAGAAATTGTCTAATGTTAAAAAGGATCACGCCAAACGTTTAGAGGAGTTAACGAAAGTACAAGAAGTAGATAAACAAAAAGCGGAGCTTATTACAAACAATCAAAGCTTAGTTGATAACGCTATTTTGGCTATTAGGTCATCACTCGCAAGGCAAATGTCGTGGCAGGATATACATGAATTAGTTAAAGCAGCGCAAGCAAACGGTGATCCAGTTGCGTCAGCAATTAAACAGCTCAAATTAGAAGTGAATCATATTTCTTTAACTCTATCTGATCCCTACCAAACTGCTGAAAATGACTCTGACTCCGAAAGCGAGGCTGTTGGTTCAACACAATCTCTAGTTGTAGATGTTGATTTAGCTTTGTCTGCGTGGGCAAACGCGCGTAAGTATTATGATCAAAAACGTAATGCGGCGCAAAAAGAACAGAAGACTATCGATGCCTCAGAAAAAGCCTTGAAAAATGCGGAAAGAAAAACACAGCAAACTCTAAAAGATGTGCGTACTATATCAACTATTTCTAAAGTACGCAAGGTTTACTGGTTTGAGAAATTTTATTGGTTTATAAGTTCGGAAAATTATTTAGTTATAGGTGGAAGGGATGCTCAACAAAATGAGCTTATTGTAAAAAGGTATATATATCTATAAAATGAAGTAAAACTAGTTTGTTATGTATCATTAAACTCAAAATATTTCATATAAACAGATATATGCGTTCATCAGATATATATGTGCATGCTGAAATTCAAGGAGCCTCAAGTGTAGTCATTCGAAACAATAGCAGTACAACTACGGTGCCACCAAAAACGTTGTTGGAAGCTGGAACTATGGCTATTTGTTATAGTGTTGCTTGGGATGCAAAAGTTGTAACGAATGCCTATTGGGTGCATAGTGACCAAGTTAGTAAGACAGCACCGACGGGCGAATATTTAGGCACTGGTAGTTTTATGATACGTGGAAAGAAAAATTTCCTTCCGTCCTGCCATTTAATAATGGGTTTAAGTTTATTGTTCAAACTGGAAGATAGTTTTATAGAGAAACATCGTGGAGATCGCAAAGTACGTAGTTTTGAAGATGAAAATCAAATAGATATGGAAGAGCACTTAAAACAGCTAGCTATTGAAAACGAGGAAGAGAATAGAAATGCATCTAACATCGAAATAGAACTAGAAAATGATGAGAATGCACAGGTCAAAGAAGAAACTTCAGATTCTGAATCTGAAGTTAACTTTCCTGATACAGAAGTTAAGATAGAGCATGACACAGGCAAGATTACAGTTCGATCTGAATCGATAACAGAGTCCAATAATGATGCAGAATTGAAAATTGTTACCGAAAATCTTCTATCAGCCATTGAAGAAGCAACAATAATACCAGCTGCACCTTCACGTAGAAAGTTGCAACAAAACTCAAAGAAACGAAAAGAAGAGAAAGCACGTAAAACACAAAATGAACTTCAGTTGCAGCAACAAAACTCTGTTGAAAATCAATCAAAGAATCCTTCACATATGAAACGTGGACAAAAGGGAAAACTAAAGAAAATTAAAGCTAAATACAAGGATCAAGATGATGAAGAACGTGAATTACGTATGCAAATTTTGAAGTCATCTGGTAAAGAAAAAGTGGCTGCTCTTGAACAAAAGTTGGTACAAAATGTTGTTACACTTAAACCAAAACAACCACACCACAATGTGGAACAAAAGGTGGCTGTAGATATTGATGAAAGTGAGGAGGTTTCTGGAGGTGTGGATACTGAGATACTTGACTCACTAACAGGTGTCCCAGCTGATGAAGATGAATTATTATTTGCTGTACCAGTAGTTGCCCCGTATCAAGCTTTACAAAATTATAAGTAAAATCTTACATACGAAATATTGAAACATTTTTAATTGAATTCTTTTATATTTCAGATATAAAGTGAAACTTACTCCTGGCACTGGCAAACGTGGACGAGCTGCAAAAACATCACTTACCATGTTTTCAAAAGAAAAAAGTTGTACAATTAGAGAAAAAGATCTACTGAAGAGTATCAGAGAAGAAGCTTTGGCAAGAAATATACCCGGCAAGGTGAAACTGTCAGCTCCGCAGCTTCAAAAATTTAAAAAGTAAATATTCGTTATGTTTTTAAAATAATAAATAAATTGTATATAAAATTGTAAAGTGAGGTCACATTTTAAAATGACATAGTTAAACAATAATTAAATATTTAAAAAAAAAATAAATGATTATTTATATTACTTATGGCGATTGCATGAAATATTTTGATATTCTTATGATCTTTATTTGCACGTAAATAATTGTTAATAAACATTTAAACATGAAAATATTAAATTCAGATAAAGGCTTTGAATCGGATTTTATTTGATCAGATTTGATTAGTTATCAAATACATATTACACATATGCGATAGAAAAATTATTAAGCCATAATTTTGTGTTTCTGTGTTCATCACAAAAAATCAAATTTATATCTAAAAATAAGAGTTTTTTAATGGGATCAATTTTTTAGTTGCATTTTATAATATAACCAAATGATTGATTTGTTGTCATATGTATCTGGATTTATTTGGACCTATTTGGAGCAGAGACCAGAAATTTGCAAAACTATAAACTAATATTTTTTGATATTTTTGCCAATGTCTGCTGATATAAAACAACCCAAAAAAATTAGTTTCCTTAAAATTTTTCAAACGGTAAAGTATTGTTAAAGTAAGGAGTTTTGTTTTTGAAAGATTAAATTGCAGACCTTGTTGTGGTAACCCACGGAGATCTATCGAGCAGATAACAGGAAAGAAATTTCAAATACGTGTATTTATGTGAGGGTGTGGGTAGGTTATGGCAGTGTGAGAGGGTAGGGGATTGTTTATGAGCAAAAATTGATTGGGTGTAGGCTAACCTCTTCAATGAAAACAGATGGGTCACTTCAGTTAGGTGGATTTACAGTTACGGCATACATTAAGAATTGACGCATTTGTGAGTGACAAGTAACAGTTTAGCACAAGAATATATTTTGATCTTATTTAAGGTAGGACAATTCAAGCTGCATGGGGAAGGTGTCGTTCATCCCAGGTGATATTAGGCTGAGCCCTATTCAGTATATTGTTGAAATGTGAAAGTAACTCTTTGTTATTGAGTTTCTTCTGTGCTGAACTTTTTAATAAAAGATTGGAAAACTCAATGATCTGTGTGCAATTTGACCACGTTTCACTAAAACAAAATCCAATCTCTCATTGAGATATCCCGTAGTGCTACAAGTCTTGTGGTAGGTCTACTTACAGGTCATTGTAGATTCGATTACCATGCTAAAGTATTGAATCTCCTCTTTAATTACACCTGTCGCAGTTATGGAGAAGGCGGTTAAAGTGCCTCTCATCTGCTTTATCTTTGCCCAGCTCATGCACGGCAGTACCGCAATACTGTAGGGGCCTACTTCTTTAAGAATCGTAATCAACTTTAAGACCTCCTGCTAAACAGTATTTAAAGATTCGTCAAGGTTCCAGGTGGTTTTAAACGGCAAATTTTTTCATTATACGGTAGCACAATGGGCTAATAGACCTATGTGGATTCCCTTTGGATCACCGGTAGTCAACTTTTTGAGCGATTGATAACTTTTTTTGGTAAATATATCGACTAAAGAGAAATTGTGTTATAGAAAATACTCTTAAAAATATATATTAGTATATACTTATATGAAAATTTTTTTAATAAAATTTCAATATAGTATTTATTATTACTACTTTTTGCTTAGCTTTAGGATAATAAACATAAGCACCTTGCATGGTTTTATTTCATTCCATATTATATATGAAGAATCTGTGTGGAAAAATCCTATATGGATAAGTCTGTTGCTCCTCAATTACGATATACGATCATAATATTATAATAGACGCTTTTCTGTGTGTCTAAATTTTTGAATATAGTCTTTATTTTTAGCTAGAAAGATAATAACACTGAATTTTGTATGGATTCGGGATACTTAGGATATCTATGGTATCTAAAAATTTAGTTAAAAAAATTAAAATCCACCAATTAAATTTTCTGAATCAAAATTTCATATATGATATATATACATACCAACAGTATTTTTTAAATATATTAATTTTTTATTATTTTAGTTCAAAAACAAAAGTATTAAATGTATTTAATTCTCAAGACTAATCTTACAGGTTAACTTATGTGCATATACCTATATAACTTACGAAATATTTATATATTATATTATTAATAAGTATTTAACAGAACGCATGGCTATGTTAATAATTTATTGAATTAATTTCTGGGTGAAAAAATTGAGGTATATTCCTTTAACTAAATTTCTAGATAGTATTATAATACAAGTGATTATCAAGTTTCGGGAAATTCCCTTATTAGATCATAATATAATTGATTATTTTCTGGGTCACAGATATTATTAAAAGATTGTATGCAGATTAGAATGTGTTTTCGATATTTCTATTATAGTAATAGTATATATAAATATACTATATAGATAGTATATATGCTATTAAACCAAATAAATTTATATAGTGTATATATAGGATATATATAGTATATATTTAGTATATATTTAGTATCTATATAGTATATATACTATATAGGCAGATATTATATATTCTATTAAGTTAAATAAATTTTTGTTGAACTTTTGCGAAAGTTATTATAGTTTATATAGTTTATTACAGAAATGGTATATATATTATATAGTATATGTAAATATAAAATATAGATGGTATATATTCTATTAAGCTAAATAAGTTTTTGTTAAGCTTTTGTAAAAAGTGAACCCGTTAAGGATATTTTTGGTCTAAATTTGCATATGTTGAATAGAAAGTACTAAAAAAATAAACATAGTTCCTTACTTCTAGGATATGCGCATGAATGTTGAGTGAACGTTCGATTGATGAGAGGACAAACGTTTCATTGTGTTTGTTTATTTTGAATGTATGTATATGGAAAGGCTCTTATATGGTGGGCTAAGTGTGAGTGGGGTAAATTTGCGAATTTGGGTGAAGGCGAAAAAAAGTGAATGCTTTGCTACTTTACTGCTGTTTTGACAATTGTGTACTAAAAGTTCGTGCTGTCCTCGTCCTCGTCGTGGTGTACTTTCAACAGAAAATAGGTAAAATAAAAATCCAACAACATTGTACAGACAAAAGTGAAAAAATTTTGTCAACATTTTATATAGTCTTCACGTTTAGAAATAAGTTGCTTTTGCTTTTAAATAAACAATACTATTGTAAAATAAATACTGAAAAATCTATTTTAAAGTAACGGTTAAGTTAGTATTGTAACGGTAAACGGGTACATTTTTAATAAATAAACGGATGAAATTCTATTAGAAAATATAAAATAAGAACGGGTGACGAGGACGACGGCAGCGAAGTGCAAAGAATTTTCTTGGATGAACGTTCGGTTATTTCGTTGCTGTGAATTGATGTGGTGAAAATGTATTCAAACAAAAATTTATTTGGTATATAAAATTGTAAAAATTGTGTATTTTCTTATGAAAAAATTCTATACTTTAATTCGAAAGCCCCAAAGTTGTTTAATAATTTTTTCACATAAAGCTGGCTTTTTGTTTTGTTGTTAGAAGGATCTCTAGATGGAACGGAAGTTATGTTCGTGATGTTGTCCCACCCAATTTTTGGGGGAGGCCCATAAGTAAATATGTGTATTGATTAGAATTATATGGATATATTTTGGAGGAATTTCCTAATAACAATTATGAATAAAATATAAATAAAAGGGTATGTGAAAAGGAATGAATATGCAAAAATATTTTCTGCCATATTACAATATATCTTGGGATATATAAAGAAGTAAATGAAAAATCGAAAAGAGAAAATGAAAGATGGAATACAGTGAAGAAAAGTGTACAAGGCCAATAAATCGTGACTGCACATTAAATGCGTGTGAAGTTGACACAAAAGGATTTAAATAATCTCATTTAAATAGTTAATAGTTAAGATAAAAAGCTGAAGAACTCACAGCCATGTGTGCTATATCAATATTATAAATGTTAAGGTTCAGTGTTACAGTGTCACTTCAATTACAAAACTACAAACGAAAAGTATCGAAAGCAAAGTATTATTTCAGTGCAAAAGTATTGGATTGCAAAATTAGTGTGTGAGAACTGTTGCCATCCTCTGCTTAAGATAAATCGATTCTATGTTTCAAATATGAGTGCTGCAAATATTGAAGTTAGAAAAAACTCTCCAATTAAAAATATTTAACCCTTCAAAAACTAAAGCTTCTGACTGCATTTTGATTTAAACTCTAAATCAGGTGGCAACTAAACAAAAATAAAAATAAATCATTGAGCAACTTAAGCTCGTGCATTTGTTTGTGTTTGAAAGTAGTGTGTGTGCGTGTGTGTGTGCGCTTCTGTTACCATAAGAAAATGTACATAAATACTTTGGTAGGGTAGCGGGAAAGCCTCTTAAACCATTTTATATATATTGACTGCCCTCCACCCACAAATGCGCTGGCAACAGCTAAACACGCACATTTTTTAATTCAGGTTCTGCGGTTCTCGGTTTTCACTTAATAATGCACGCGGAGTACATTTCCACTGCCTGCAGACCGTAACGCTATTTTAGAAATTCTAGAGAAAATCAAAATCTACACACACCTCTGAGATATCGCACAAAGTTTAAATATTTTTTTTTATTTACAATAGAGTTGAAAGTGTGTGACACATATGGATATGTGGATATATACACACACTAATATGTCACAACAATGTCACACAAGATACATCCAGATATCAAAATATAAACATTATTTAAAATAAATAAGCTTAAGATTCTAATTAGAAAGGCTGTTGGTAGTATATTATTTTTTATAAAATAAAATAAATTAAAATAAAATATTATAAAAATAAAAAATAATGTATTTCACAATAAAGGCTCTTGGTAAAATATACTATTATTTTTAAAAGAAAATAAAGCAAAATTTTTTTTATAAAAAATTATTGTACTATGAAAAAGATTATTATTATTATTATCAATTATAAAGGTTGTTGGTAGTATATATTATTTTTTATAAAATAAAATAAATTAAAATAAAATATTATAATATAAAAAATAATGTGTTGCACTATAAAGGCTCTTGGTAAAATATATTATTATTATTAAAGTAAAATAAAGCAAAATTTTTTTATAAAAAATTATTATACTATGAAAAATATTATTATTATTATTATCAATTATAAAGGTTGTTGGTAGTATATATTATTTTTTATAAAATAAAATAAATAAAAATAAAATATTATAAATATAAAAAATAATGTATTGCACTATAAAGACTCTTGGTAAAATATATTATTATTATTAAAGTAAAATAAAGCAAAATTTTTTTTATAAAAAATTATTATACTATCAAAAATAATATTATTATTATTATTATGAATTATGAAGGCTGCTGGTAGCATATATTATTTTTCAAAAATAAAATAAAGAAAAAGACAATTTTTTGTTTTAAAAAATAATATGAAAAATATTATTATTATCAATAATAAAGGCTGTTAAAATAAATAAATAAATTTAACAATTCTTTTTATAAAAAATAATGTATTACACTATAAAGGCTCTTGGTAGATAAATTATTATTTATAAATTAAAATAAGAAAATTTTTTTATATAAAATAATATATTGCACTATGAAAAATATTATCATTATTATTATTATTATTATTTTTATGAATTATGAAGGCTGTTGGTAGTATATATTATTTTTTAAAAAATATATTAAATAAATTAAACAATTTTTTTTATAAAATATGATATATTATAATATAAAATATATTATTATTAATTATAAATGTTGTTAGCAATATATATTATTTTCTATAAAATAAATTAAATAAAAATAAAACTTTTTCTTTATAAAAAATAATATGTTGCACCATAAATGGCTTTTGGTAGAATAAATTATTTATAAAATAAAATAAAACACAATTTTTTTATTAAAAATAATATACTATACTACGAAATATACTATTATTAATTAGAAAGGCTTTTGGTATATATTATTTTCTATAAAATATACTTTTTTTGTTAAATAAAATAAATAAAATTAAAAGCTTTTTTATTAAAAATAATATATTGCATTATGAAATATATTATTATTATTATTATTATAAAGCTTATTGGTAGAATATACCTATTATTTTCCGAAAATAAAATAAAGAAAAAACGTTTTTTTTTTATAAAAAATAATATATTACACTATCAAATATATTATTATTTATAAAATAAAATTAAAGAACATTTTTTTTATTTTAATAAATAAAACAATATATATATTTATTTCTATATTTTGCACTTTAAAATATATTATTATTATTAATTATAAAGGTTCTTGGTAGTATATATTATTTCTAATAAAACAAAATAAATAAAAATAAGTTTTTTTTTATTAAAAATAATATATTGCACTATGATATATTATTATTCTTATTAATTATGAAGGCTTTCTATTTTATTTTCTATAAAATAAAAAAAAATATTAAGTTTTTTTTATAAATTAATTGTAGGAATTATATTGTTATAAAATATTGATGGTGGAATATATAATTTTTTTTTTAAATACAATAAATAAATATAAATATTTTTTTACAAAAAATAATATGTTACACTGTAAAACACATTATTATTATAAATTATAAATTAATAAAAAAAGTATGCATTAAAGAGTGTGATTGTGGTTTTCTAGGTGAATAGAATTTCTGTTATTAGTTTTTGCAGAACTTTTTTATGGGAATAGAAAATTTTGTCCTTTCAAGAATAATTTATATATTTTAATTCGCCTTCCTCTATTCTCTTTCAAGTAATGACCAGTAATGATTCAGTTCAATTATTTATTAGGCAAAACAGTCGCCTAATTTTTATTTCGTATTTTGTTAACATTGAAAAAATTATTGGTTTTACAATAAATCCTTTTAAACGAATTTATATATTAATTATATATTAATCAAAATACTATTAATATGTTAAATATTGAAACAGTGTACTAATATTAATGAAGGGGTTACGCATGGATTATATGTATTTCGCATCTACCCACACTTGATTGAAATGTTGAATAACATTGAAACGATTAATCCAGCAATTAATTCCATTTACTAGATAAGAAATTTAAAATATTTTTTTTAGTTCTTAATTAAAATTTTATTTTTTTCTATTAAAAAATGAAAAAAAAGATTTATTTTTCATCTGGTCAAATATTTTTTAAATATTTTTTATTTTTTTAACATTTATTAGTATTAAGTTCATCCACAGTGTTTTTTTATCCTCATTTAGAAACATATGGCTTTTATATGTTAGAGAACTAGGAAAATTGTCGTATTTGGAGTGACATATTTCGAGTTTTAAATAACTTTTGGGATAGTATACTTGTTGTAGGATTGATCTACACTATTTAAAATATGTATTGCACTTATGTTTGTAAGACTTTTGTAATGTTTTGAAGGACCAACTGAAAAATTAAATCGTTTACATATTTTTGATAGTAGACTTCTTGGAACCTCGTCAGCACTATTGACAATTCTTCACTATCACAAATCAATCTTTTATTTTTCTAATATAAAAATTCAAATGTAGAGTTATTTCAGATCAGATGTTTATCGGCAAGTAAAACTTAAGACCCGGTGTGGTTTCTAGGCTGTGATATGAAAAATCAACACTCAGATTAGCTATAAGCAATATTTAGTTCAACTGCCTTCAGAAAAAGGAATATGCCATTTACGATAATTATAAGTATAGTATATGTTATAAGCAGTAGCGAGGCGTCAGCTTTTTGGCAAGGTGTTCACAATTTAATCAAAACAGAATTCCAACTATAACGTATTCCCCCTACTTCTAAGTTTTGTCCTTTCCACAAGCAAATAACGTACAAGACTAATAAAACAATTCATTTAAATGTTCGTAGCCTGTGATCCACTGGTTTTTATTTACCATAAAGCTGTAGCTGTAGGAAAACGACGACTTACCATAGATTTTGACATTTTTACAACAGGTATCAAATTCTTCATATCTGGAGTTGGTCTATTCATTTTATGAATTAAAACCACTTTTTCAGAAGATCGTTTAAAAAAAGATATTTGAATCAAATCTTTAATCACACATTTATCCATTTCTAAATATTATTTTTCACTTCAAATTTCTTTAATCTCTTTCTTTACTTTTACCATTTGTTAGTATAAAATTGCAATAATGACTTTGTTTTGATTTATTTCCAACCTCTATATAAGAGTAAGAAACTCTAATGCATTCATTTACTCTTTTACTTTGTATTTACAATGCCCGGTTCAGTTTTTATACTGAACCATTTCCCCATATAAAACAGCAACCGTGACTTTGATTGTATTTGCACGCTTTGTATAAACTTTTGGTTCAGTTTAGTGGAATGATCCTCTCGTCAAATGTAAAGCGATTTCCGCTCAATCATTTCTTCTCTCTTTTGTATTTACTTTGCATAACATTGGAAGTGCACTTTTTTTACTGAACTGCTTGCACGCATTAATTTAAGAGTTAAGATTATTTTACGTACATATATTTGTTTGTATGTTTTGTGTTGTGTATTCAATATTGAACATAGTCCCAATGTGAATGTTATTTCATTTGCATGCTTTGTAAGCAACGCGGTGCAGTTTTTATTCTGCACCTTAGTATATTTCAAGAGGAATGTGTTTTCTCTTTTATTAATTATAAGCAATGTTGGGTGTATCTAACATATGTGTGATTTTGTTTGTATTCTACGTTTTGTGTTTATGTTAATCTGTTTGGAAAAGCTATTATAAAAAATGTTAAGTAGCAATATAGCGAGATTATTTACCTAATAAAAAAAAATCTAAAAAGAAAGCTTTGTTAAGGTGTTCAGTGAACACTCTGAACCATTCGACGCCTCGCCTCTGGTTATAAGGTTTATATATCTTATACATAAGTATGTATAATGTTAGCAAGCACACTAGTATATAAAGATTAATGAGCCCCTATATTGAGCATAATACATTTTGTGATATATTTTAGAACTGATTGTCTACTATCCAAGTGCAACATTAGTTCAGATTAGAGTAAGAATCTTAGCAATTGATATCCATTCTATTACGATATTGTTAAATATTATATTTAAATCCATAGCTGCTCTAGTAGCATAAAATTTTTTCAATCAATATATTATTTGCTTTAAGATAACCTTAAACTTCGATAATAACAAAAAATGTAGCCTAAAATGTACTCCAATGAACAGAAAGCATTCCAACCCCAAATTTTATCACATGGCTGGAAGTATAGCATGTAGGCCATACATCCTTAAAACGTTTGACCACCTAACTGGTAATTATCATTAGCTGGTAACTAATTTAAAAGGTTATTCCGTAGGAAATTCAAAAGGCGAAATAATATTTTTAATTATTGTATATTATCTTTTATATCAATTATATTATGTTTTGATATAAATATGTTGAAAAAAATTCAAAATAGGTTGTTGTGGTTATTTAATGTCTTATATCCTAAATTTCAAGTATTATTATCATATGTTCACAGACAGTTTTGTGCACCAAAGCTCACTCGAATACAAATAATGGCTATTACAAATGATCCACTGTTCATGGGCTATATCTTAAGACACACCTTTCAGATGTCCAAAACCCCCAAAACCAGTTTCCTCTTGAATAAGTGTATAATAAATAAGAATAGAACTTGAATGCGGGAATAAGATTCCCGAAACTTCTCGTAGCCAGTGATGGGCACTGACACTGACTGCGTAATTATTGAAAGAAGAATGCTGAACACTCCGCTAGACAATCTTTGTTATCGCAGGTGACCTTCCAATATCTGACTAATTTACCCTATTATTATTATTAATTTACACTATTACCGAGTTATATATATAAATATAAGTTGAAAATGGCACTTGAAAATAGTAAGAACTGCAGCTTTAGAACACAGGAAATACTATTTCTTCTTAGTGACCGTTTTCCCTAGTGGGGCATAGGGTCACGCAGCAAATACTACAACAGGGATTTTTTGGAAATTCTACAGAGCTTTTTTCACATCCAATTATAATGATATGTACTTAAACATACAATATATTTTAAATAAAAATTATTATAAGTATAAATTCTAAAAATAAAATTAATGATATATAATTATAAATGGGCTAATATGATTAACTTCAATTCATATTAAATTATATATTGAAATAATTCTAAAATTAGGTTATAATAATAAACATATATACATTTTTTTCATAGATAATTCAAATGTGTTCTTGAAACTGCCAAAATGAAGCGAAAAAGAACATTGTGCCTATTAAAGAGCAAATAAATCATATAAACAATTAAATATGATTTAACAATAAACATAAAACTTAAATACACTGAAAACCAATTTTAATACATTCGGTCATGTATCAGGAACACAATGAGGCAATAAACAAGGATAGATAAAATAATTAAAAAGGAAAAGTGAAAGACTTTGATGAAAGAGAGCATTGGTGATATGCGTCTGACTTACCAGTGAGAGAGCAGTGGTAAAACACCGGTTTCATATAAGAAAAAAGGACAGGACGGACGGTAATATATCTTGATTGAGTCAATAGACCTTCTTGGACACCGTAAAAGATGGTGAACAAAAAATAATTTTAAATGAAGAGAGTGGTAAATAGGAAATGGATCCAAATAAATTTTATTGTCGCAATGCAGCGCAGTCAACAGCATCAACATCATCGATTTCTTCAGCGACATCGTCGTCAATTGGTTGCGGCGGTAATTCTAACCAGGAATATATCGGTGCTTGCGGCTCTAGTCATTCGTCTTCTGGTTTTAGTTGTAAAGAATTGCTTGCAAGAAATGCCAACAGTAAATCCCTGCTTAATCAGAGAGGGACCAATGCTGCAACTGGTTTTGGTGGTAGCGCGAGCAGTACGAGTGGGTACTGCAGCAGTAATTCAAGTGGGACCGGAAATTATATTAACGTAATGCCTGTGCCAGTGGGCACATTGCAGTATCAGCGAAGGAAGTTGACACCACAGGAATATCAGTAAGTGAAATATTATTCTAATTTAGTATTTGAAATATTAAATACCATTTGATTCCCATGTTGTGCTTTTATTATTTACGAGTATATTTTTAAGTAATTATTCTTACACATATTTGTATTATAATCATAATCGTGTTCAGTTATTACAATTTATAATTATAATTTATCCGGCTAGCAAGACTCTATCACTAAAGTAAAGTATGGAGTTTCAATTACGGTGCTTCAATTCGAAACTCTTCGTTGTTTCGGAAGATTTACTATACCTAAATTTATTTTTATATTTATGTGAAACCTAAGTTTCTAGTTTTAAATTAATAAAAATGCACACGTTAAGTATATTTTATATTCAGGTAAATCTGTATATCTTCATCCTTATATATTGACTATGAATTATATATGAATATCCTTATATTCATCAAAGATCATCTTCACATAATTTTTGTTTGCATTTTTCTTAAATAGTCTTCTAAGGCTTTTAAAATGTTTCTTCTCCAATAACCCTTTTCGAATTAGTAGATTTGATTTATTTTTTTTTTTTATGTGGTTTTGTGTAACATTAGCAGTTGTGGTGACTATTAACTTTTCCTTTTCAGTAAAGCAAAAATGAAACTATGTCCAATATCTTCCTCTTTATTATCTATATCTTCCTCTTCTGAGATATTCATAAATGCCAATAATCAAGACGACTTTTAAAAGTCAATCAACTAATTGATTTGAACTTCCTACTTCGCTAGTATTTGAGAGATTTGTAGCAAAATATAATCTATTGAGTATTATATTTAAACCTGTTTCATTATATCCATCTCAATATTCTGTTGTATAACTAATCATCATCGTCATCCTCGTAATATTACAGTCAGTCATTCTTTATTTTCTTTTCTCATCATTATACATACTCATCTGTTATTTTCAAAATAGACACCTCGTTTTTTTCCATTCTTCTAAGCAATATCCACAGACTACGTCCGGTATATTCTTCCACTACTTTTATTCGACGAAATATCTACATTAGAGTGGAGTTCAAAATAGTTAGACTGGTTTAGATATAGTAAAGGCAATGTTCGATCCATTGTATTCATTGTGTTTTTGACTTTGCGAGTGAATTTGAGCAAAATTGTTGTTTTATATACCAGACTTTTGTACTGATTTAAAGTCTTTCCAAAATCTAAAATTCAAAACCAGTAGAACTTTAGGGATACTAAGGTCATGACTTTCTCTCTGTAAGTTTAAATATAGATTATGGAGCATAGTAGTCTCTACTTTTTCAATATTTTCTTTGATTTTAGACGTCGACTTTTGTCCAAAGTTAGTTAATAGTGGTGTTTTTATTTTAATAATCTTAAAATAAAAAATATGCTTGCCGTTACACTTACGTTTATAGTTAACATGGTTCCGAAGGTTTTTAATTTAAATAGGTTGAATTTTTCCACTTTATCAGAACTAATTACAAACTATATAAGTCGAATGAGTGACTTATAGCAAAAAAGTTTAATCTTACATTTTTTTCTATTTCACGATTGTGAGGTGAATTCCGTTATAAAAAGGACGAACTCTTCAATTATGAAATGTACATATTTGACTCGTTTTTCTTATTATTTATTATTAAAACTATTGTCGTAAAATAGCTCAAGAGCCGGTAGTGCGGCCAGAAGAGTATAAATAATACCAAATACACTTTTAATTTCACAAAGCCCCTTAAAATTTTATGAATAAAGTCCTGATATAAATCTGGAGAAGAGTTCTTAATCTATTCCGGTGACAGAAATTCCATATGAAATAAGTTTTTTCTGTGCATTGTAAAAGCTGGACAGATAAAAAGAATATGCATAGTTGTTTCCTTATCTTGTAGGCATAGTCGGCATTATTAGCAGATAATCGTAGTTTATGTAGGTGGTGTTTTAGATCATAAAAACTTATAATGAACCCCGTTAGCAGCTATCAATTACCTTTTGAGAATTTTGAATGTTTTTGTAGGAGTACGGTTTGATTAGTGCATTGCTTTGCTTAAGTTCTGGAAAATCTTCCCAGCCGCAAATCTTCACTAGCCGCAAACTAATCTCCCTCTCCTTGATTATTTGTTTTGTACTGACCCAGTTTAACCCACAAAAGGGTGAAGGCATGTGAAAGCAGTTTTTGCTGCAATTCCAGCTAACTCAACACCTTGTTCATTTCCCAAAACTCTTCTGTGACACGGAACCCAAAAAGACTTGCGTTATTCCGAACTGCAAGTAACTGTAGAAACTCGTAACCTCGAGGTCCTGTTTTGACTTGAAAGTATAAGAAGACAGAGCTTTAATAGCAGCCTGGCTGTCAAAGTACTCGTTCTTGACTCGTGGACTCGTTCCATAGTGAGCTAAAATATTGCAAAATCGAAAGAAGAAATGCTCTTCAAGTTATACCGAACTCTCAAACTTAAAATTGATGGTTTTGTCGTGTTTATAGAAGAGGATTTAAATATATAAAATTTTCTTCGTTATGTTCTTTTAAATGACGAAAGATTTTGAAGAATTAATTTCTCATTGTTTCTTCTTATTATTAATGCGATATACTATACGATATATCATTCGTATAAAATGATTAAAATTTTTGCTTATATGTATTAAACTTTCAAGCACTTAAAAAGTATTATGAACCGCCCTTCTCCCCCCAGCCATTATGTAGAGCCTTCTGCGCTCGCATAATTGTGGAAATATATTCCAAATACATCGCATTTAAAAGAATTCAGCTTTGCATCATAAACAACTGATTTTTTGATGCATTTGAAAGTTTGAGTTTGAAGTTAAATCTAGTAAAATGCGTAAGAAATAATGTGGAATGCTTATTAGGTTTCTAGGTCAACGTTCACATTTCGTTGCAAGCATTTAATTTTGCTTGCAATATTTATCTCATCCCGAGAGTTGAACGGAAATGGAAACGCTGAAAACTGCAGGGAGAAGTACGGAGAAGTACGAATTTTCTGTCATTTTAGAGGCAACCTTCAGAAACATTTTCTGCTATAAAAAATGAAATCTATTTGTACTTTTTATATGAAAATATGATTTTCATTTTGGCATTGCACACCGTTAAATTGTAGGAAAAAAAGGCAATGGTTAGTGGATTTAAGTAAAGTTTGCCATGTTATTATCTTGATAAATGTATTTAGAAATATGTTACGATAAATTAACAAATATTATTTTATGCAAACTTCATAATGCAGTTAGGGCTCATATGTGGTTAGCAACTCTGTCAACTTCAGTGCAACGTTTTCCCTTTTCGAAAAGCCTCATGTTTGTGTGCAACGTGACGAGTGACATAAATCCTCGTTACTTGGTAACAAGTGAAACGTCATAATTAACGCTAACTCATTTGCTTCTGTTCACAGTGGATAAATCCACAAAGTTTGTTTTAAAATATTAGGAAAAATTATGCAAATTTTATTATTTTATACGTATTTAATTAATATAATTCCATTAAAACGTGTCATAGTTCTATGGTATAGTAGAAGGACTCATGAAAACGAAATCAAAATTGTTTAATTGATTTATTTTTTAAATCATAATTTAGGTCTTTATTTTATTTTATTAAATAATATTTAATAATTTTTATTAAAAACGCTACTTCATAATATAATTCACTTTAATTTTTTTATTATAGATCACGTTTGTATTATAATACAACAGACTACAGATGTCGCGACGACTATTATGGTTTAGGTGGAAGTGCGGGGACAGCTCGCTTAAATACATCTTCACCTTCGCCTTCTATGCATTTACAAAATTCACAACAATTACAGCAACAACAACATACACATCACCAACAGCAACAGCAACAACTGCATCATCAACAGCAACAGCAACAGCAACAACAACATCACCAACAGCAACAACAGCAACAACAACATCACCAACAACAGCAGCAACATCATCAACAGCAAAGTCAAACAACAATAGCACATCATCACCATTCACAGTCCCACCATCATCAACAGCATCAACAACAGCAAAATCAACAACAACAGCAACAACAACACCAACAGCAACAGCAGCAACAACAACAACAACAGCAGCTACAGCAATATCAAATTCAACCGACGCCACATACGCAGCAACAACTTCAACAGTTACAACATCAGCAACAACAACAACAACAACAGCCACATAACATTCAACATTCGCATTCACATCATATGCAACAGCATCAGCATCAACATCAGCATCAGCATCAGCATCAACATCAATTGATCTGTAGTCCGAGCACTACAACAGATCCCATAGATGAAGCGCTTAATTGCAGTTTAGTAGCAAGCAATAATGGACGTGTGGTTGCAGCTGCCTCAACACAAACTAGTTATATTGGTAGTAATGGAAATTGTGAACAATTGTTACCGCCATCGTCAGTGTCACTAGGCACCATGACATTGCCTGGTCCGCCAATGATGTATACGGTTCATCGCGTAGTGACCACAGCACAGATCCAAACTGCTGTTGGCAATACGTTCGCTTCATCATCGAGCGTCTCAAGTATAGTAAGTGAAGTGCGTAATGAAAATGATGGCGCGATTGCAGCTGGTACTGCTCTACCCACAAGTAGTGGTTGTTCTGCATCTGGTGGTGGAACAGCAGTTAGTGGAGCGTCAAATGGAGCAATTGGAGTTGTTACCGATGATGGCAATGTTTCAAATGATAATGTTCTAAATAGTGGTAGCATAAATACAGTTACAGGTCTTGACAGTTCAGCTGGTAAGTTTAAAATTTTAAAAGTTCTATCAAATTTTTTTAGTTTCCGATATAGGTATATTCAATTATTACCAAATATTAACTATCTGAAAGAGATAGATTGGATTATAGTATATATGCTTGGCTTACATCTGATTCAATCATAGTTTAGCTTATAATGGGTGTTTCCTGGAACAATTTCCTAAAATCATAATTTAGCTTTTAATGGGTGTTTCCTAGAACAGTCTCCTATTTTATTTAAGGGTTTAATATTTAATATTTTCCAACGTTAGGGATGTCAAAGTAAAGTTTACGTCAAAAAAAACTCTTGTCCAAGAAATTCTCAAGTATCTCAAATATAGTTCAGTCAAACAAGAAAAAATCTAAATCTAAGTGTTGAGATATAAACAAGAAAAAACAGATGTCAACTTTTAAATGGCGGTGATTTTTTTCTTGACACAGCTTACGAAAAAATAAATACTATGTATATTATATATTATTGAACACCGGCTCCTGGACAAGGTCACCTCGAACTTTTCGAAACATGATATAAAATACTGGTAATTGTATGTTAAGATGTTTAGAGTTACTAGAATTTACTAAATCTTGTCTTGTTATATCTTGTAATTTTGGGACGATTTTTTGAGTTGATGCAGTTTTTTGAGGTTCTTTAAGTGACACATTTGTTTATTTGTGTATATAATAGTACCTAACTCTTCACAACAGAACACTAGTTTAGTAATCTCAAAGCCGACGGTACAGCTGTTTACTTTCGTAACAGTTCCACCGTGTGCAGATTAATTTTCAGTGCGTTACTTGGTGGATACAAAAAAAGAGCTATTCTTTGTACCCTATGCAGAGTATTCATTACATGAATTTCTGATAGGGTGCCCACTAAAGTAATGTATCAAATAGCAGCGTTAGGTTAGGAGAGATGATAGGCTTGTGCCTAAAGCCTACGTGAGCTCAAACAATGGACGATTGCAATGCAATGTTACCGTACGAAAAACGTGGAAAGGTACGACACCCCCTTTTAAGGAAAAGTGAATCAACCTTATAAGTCACAAGTCTATAAACGTGGCCAAGTCCCTAACTTTGCAGTATGACAGCTCTTTTAGGTAGGTCGGTAAGATATAGCAGGGTGATTTGTTGATAACTATCTCTAAATACAGTCATGTACTTTCGCTTCTGCAAATCCATCTTAGACACTGAATCCAGATAGGGGCAATATTCTGTCACATCTTATTTACATGGTAGTCTAGGCCAAGAAGTAACTCCATAATAATAATTTCTAAATTTTTCCTCTTAATTTATAAAGTGAGATATTTCATCTTTCTCAAAAATACAATTACATTCCTTAACTATCCTTAAATATATGAGTATATATATATGAGTAAGATCTGAGTAGAAGTAGTAATTTTAGGACTCTTGGAATAATTTAAGAATATTTAATATTTTTTTAAACACAAGTGCGTAACTGAAAATTGTGTTATTCTATTTTACTTAAAGAACCATTCTTTGCAGGTGTAAGTACAAATTTCATACCACATCAGCAGAAATGCACCAACGCTTCCGATGTGCAATCACATCCCACATCTCGAATACCAAACAACAATTTTAGTTCAACATCATCATCAACCAATACCAGTTACTTAAATGGTGCTAAATCGGCGTCATCGTCGATACCAAGGCCTCTGCAAAATGTATGTGAAACAATAAAATAATTTAATTAATATTATATACCATATTATTTTATCCAAAAAAAAAAATAACAATAAAAATCATTTATTTATTCGTAGGTGATACCCACGTGCGTGTATTTAATGTCTCGAGTTGCTGTACATATGGAGATCGAAGGAACAGCTCAGTGTCCGACACAAGTGATGCTGGCAGCTGCTCTGGGCTGTGAAGAATTAGGAATAGCTAACAAATTACTGGCTCAAAGTATTTTTGGTTTATGGATGACTAGTGCGCTATTAGAAATCCAATTAAAATCCCATCATCGGCCTTTTGTGGTTCGTGTAGCGTGGCCTAGTTTACTGGATAAATTTAGTCATGGCAATCCGGTTCAGAAAAAATTCGATGAGCCCATGATAATGTTAAAACGAAATGTTTTCTTTTCGAAACGTGATGAAGAGAAAATAAAGTAAGTTATATACATGTTTTTTTTATTATATATGTGAATCTGGAAAGATATTAACAAACTTTTTATATTTTATTTCAGAGACCATAGGATATTAGAACTTTTGTACGAAGAAGCGAAACACAACGTGTTGACCGGTCGTTACATTATGGAACCAGTGCATTCATTAATGTTAGGTGGTATTCAAGCGCGTATAGAATTAGGTCCTTACAATTCGCATACACATACAATCAGTTTTTTTAGGTACGAATAAAGTTGTTTAATTTTATTTAAAATATATATTTATTTTTCTATAATTTAAAAATTGTAGAGAAAACCAATCAAGGTTCTTACCACAACATGTTGCCAAAAGTTCTAACTGGTCGTGGTTGCCAGTCAGTCGGAAGAATTCAGCTGAAGTGAAACTTCTTGAACAATTCAAGAGGGTACCACAGACAGCCACAACGAGAAAATTAATGAGAAAATATTTAGAATTTTGCTGGGCGCTTCCATTTTATGGGTAAATAAATATTTTCAATATTCATTATTTGTGTAAATAATTATATGAGTTATAATTATAACTTTTTATAGAAAAATTCTTAATTGGTTTATGTTAGTTTTCTTTATTGAAAGTGACGTGTCTTATGACGAAACAAAACTATATAAAATTAAGAAGGGTTTGAATAGAAATGAAAACACAACAACAAAAATTTTAGTTAATTTACTTAAGTTTGACTGACCAAACTGGTCTCGTCTGGCACGAGTTTTAAGCTTGGTACTTGCAGTCCAAACAAATTCTATACGGACTATAAACTAATTAAAAAATTTGAATATTTTTTAAGACCACTGATGATGAGTACTTGATGAGCTAAACTTCAAAAAATATCTAACATTTTTATTGTTGTCTTTTCATTTCTATTCGAACACTGCGAATTCTTAATTTGTTTTGTTGACTATATAGGTATTAGCTCTACTTTATGTAGAGAGAGAAAAAGAGAGAGAGAGACAGAGAGAGAGAGAGAGGGAGAGAGAGAATAAATATATGTATTTAAAAAACAAATTAAATTTAATATTATTTATTTATTAACATTTTTGTTTTTTATAACTGCAATTATTATTCCATTTTATACTTTCATAAACTTATATTAATTCTAATTTATTATTAGTGCTGCATTCTTTTATGGACAAGTGGAGCAACCAGTGCGTGGTCTTATGAGTTTAGTAAATCACAAAGATGTTGAAGTGATTATTGCCGTGAACGAGCGTGGAGTATTCATAATAGATCCAATCGAATGCGTAAGTCCAATATTTCCTCTGTATATTCGAAAATAAAATATTTATATTATATCATGAAAAATATATTTGTAGACATTGCTGCTTGGACTTCGTTTTGAAGACTTATCGTGGGATTTCGCAAAACCCAGTTCAACGGATGATCCCGAATGTATGACTTGTATATTTTTGCAGGTAAAAGGAGCATTTTTATATATTTATGATAGTATTTTATTAAAATAAAAATTATTTTAGTTTGATGCTGTGGAAAATGGAATACAAGTCTCAAAACTTATGCAAGTATTTTCAAGACAAGCTGCTATGATTGATGCCTTAATATCCCATTTTGCTGAACAAATGAGAAAACGTAAACAGGACGGCAATGGATCTGAACAATTCCACGAAGGTATAACATATTATTTTTTAAATTTTAAGTTAAACAATATAAGAACTAAGTCACATGTTAATAAATAATGAGTAAACCAATTTCAAGGAGAATTCAATACCCGCATTATTAAAGGATTAACTTTATCTACATGATACATGTTAGATAGGTAGTTAGATAATCTAGGAGTAAGATCGAGCCCACTTCAAATAACCCAAAAAAAAATTGTTTAAATTTTACACGCATGATAAATGCAAGTATCCACTATTTTTATAGTGTATATGTTGTTCAGTGAATTAAAGAATTGTGGCTTATAAACTTAAACCTGTATCTGGGTCAGCTTGAACAATGACATAACTTTTGGTCTCACTTCTTCGAATGCCGGCGCACACGATTTATATAAGTTTCGATAGAGCAGGCCCAGCCTACCTCTATGTCATCGTACAGCCCATTGTTCGGTGAGAATCAGTATTATTTTCGATATTTCCAACTTTTTGATTTTCTAGATAATATTAAAATATTAAACCAGAAATATTAAACCAATTAAACCAAACCGGAAACGGAGTTTATCCTTCTAAGCGGTTCAAAAGTATCGTATAGTTATTTATAACTCCAAGACACACAAAACACACAAGATATGTTCCTTCTAGTTTTTTAGAATACATTTTTCAGAAGAAGTTTACTGCTTTCGACTGCTTTTTTGTTTTCGGAGTATAAAGTAGCGATCATTGGCGAAAAGTTCAAATGGTTCAAAGTGTTTACACTTTCTCAAAATGTCCTTTATATCACCTAATAATATAAAATTTTTAAAATACTGTTAAAATTCTGCTTCCGAATATTAACAATATAGAAATAAAATATAAGATAGGGTCAAATACACCTTAGTTATATTTTCTTTGTACCTACTTCACATACTATGGGTCAGGACAAGAATGATAGAAACAATATTTCGCATTTCGGGTGATTCTATATGTACGTGGTTTTGTTAATTTCTTACAAAAATTGAATAAGCGTTTCTTCTTATTACTTTTTCCACTTACATTTCCTTTTGATATTTACCAAACTAAATAAATGATGGTAAGCTACTGTTAGGAGCAAATTTAAAAGATAATAAGACAATCCCAAAATTTGAAGGAAGTTTTAAAAATTATCTATGATGTGACAGTTGTCACTATAAGGCCTGCTAACAAAAATCATCATCTAAATGGTGACTGTTAAAATTGGTATAATTTATTATGTCAATTTTGAATACCCAGCTAGAAAAGTAATACCTTATTACTGGTATGCATGTAGCTTTGTCTCACTGCATCTAAAAATTAACAAACCATCCCTTTCATATTAAAAGTGGAATAATCGTTTGCGCCAATTAATAATACCCAGCAAAAAAGGTAACTTTTCATCTCTGGCAGTGATATATGGTATCTATGTCTTATCCACATTTAAAAATCAATACTGGAACTCTTTCTATGCTGTTATAATTGCAAAGATTACTTGATATCAGAAGTGCTCCTTTTATTTTAATAAAAGTTCTTTCGAGAATATTGTTCTAAATTTGAATGTGTTTGATCTTCCATTACTAGATCATAGATATTATCAACTATATACGCAGTTGTTATATCTTTAAGGCGCCCTAGTCGCTAAGCATCTTTGGTGCTCATCTGAACGACGAAACGAAATAGAGTAAATCTTTTTTGAATTATACCACATGATAATACAGGGTCTTTCTGACTAAAATATTCTTTTTGTTTTAAACATGATTTTTCTAAAAAAACTTATGCCTTATCCTTATTTGAGAGTTTTCCTTCACAACTTTTGCTAATCTATCAAAAGTTCTGCATGTTAACAGTTACCAATACAAACGAAGCTCCTAAATCGGAGTATCAATCTAGACTTAGGATCAATTTATGCAGGTGTTTAAATGATCGTTCATCATCACATTTGTTTTTGCTTTTAATGTGTGCTAAAAAATTTGAAGCATTGAAATTGACAAGTCTGGTGTTTGAAGATCCTTTATCGCCCACATAATGTAGCCCTAAGTATGGATTGTTTCTCCGATGTAGGAACTCTTACTTTTTTATATATATTGCCAGTTTTTAAAAATTTATTATATTGCTATACTATATTAAACATTTATTTATTTAACATTTATTATAAAATAACCCTTTTATTATTATAAATATTTGTGTTAGCAAATTTAAAATATTTTATTTTTATTATATTAATAAATAATTAAATATCAATACTAAAAAAATTTTCAGCAAAACTCAGCTAATAAAATTTTATATAAATTCTATTTTTTAAATTTATAAATAATTCAAATTTTGTCTTTTTAAATATCTAGAACCCAATCCTATACAAAATAATGGAAATGGTGTACTGTGCAATAAATTATCTCGACTCACATTAGCTACCTTTGATGAGGAAGGACGATGTATTGGTCAAATGGGATCTCTATCTATAAGTTATTAACAATTGTTGTATTATTTTTGATTTAGTTCTCTGTACATTGTTTGGATAATATTTTCTTTATATATTATTAACAAAATTAATAAGGCCGAGTTATATTAATTAACGTTCTGTAAACTAATTTATACTGCCAAATACTTTTGTAAATTAAAGTTTTAATTTTCCTTCCATACATTTTTGTTAGAATGAACATAGAGATCATCAACTAAGTAAAATATATGTAATTATTTTATTTTAAGCATTTAATTAAATTATTATTATTAATTATTATTAATAAAATTAATAACACTTTTTTATATACCTGCTTTATCTCAATTTAATCCATATTTTTTAAAAATATAGATATGTGCAATTTATTGTTAAATTATTTTTTACTATGAATTTTATAAAAATTTATTAAAATACTATTTGTTATTAAATTATCAAGTTTGAATTTAAAAATATGTTTAATGAGTTGTACTCGTTACTGGACTTTATTTATATTCAATATGCAAATCATTTATTCAGACTTTAAATAGATATCTTTAAGGATAAAACTGAATCAAAATTCTAGAAACAGAAACCAAAAATCGGTACATATTTATGTTGAACTGTGGCATATATATTTTATGCAGTAGCTTTCCGGTTGAGAGGCAGTTCTAATCATAAACATTCTAATGTTTTATGTAAATGTGTATAAAATTAAAAATTATTGTTATTATTTAAGTATAATATGAAAAGTATTTAAACATTTAAACTTAACAATTCACTTCGTATCTTGTACCACCACGTGATTTCATAGTTAAAATAAATTCGAAAATTTTGCAAAACACACAAATACAAATGCAGAAATACATAGTTTAATATATAAAAGTACATATGAGTAAAATATATATATAATTAAGTAACTGAAGAGATATCACCCAGAACAAATTAATCAAATATGTTGAATCAAACTCACATGATCCTTACCTGATCACACACCAATTTTGTTGAAAAACGAATCCAATAATAATGAAGTTACATAAATTATTTATGAAATATTATTAACGACATCTAATTGATAGCATATGATCCGTAGATCCATCTGTTATCTCTCACAACATGGATCTAACTTCTCTCTGAAGTTAGATAAAGTGACATGAAAGAGTGTGTGTTGTTGATATGTGAAAGTATGGCACGCTCTAGTTGCGGGCATATATTCTCGAACATTTCTGGAATATAACTGCACCGACGTGTATCTGTATTTGGTTATAAGCTAGGTTATGTGACAAATAAAACTGAATAAAATAATTATATAAATATACTATAAAACGCGTGTAAAATTATATAAATAAGAAATCAAATTATTCATAATCTTTATATATACATACATAAAATATATTTACAATTAGGTATAGATGTATTTAAAATAAAGTACTAACCTATATCCAAATAATATTAAGTTATATAAGCATGAAATAAAATTATAAATAAATAATTAAAAAAAGTAAATTGTAAAATTAAATAAATCTTAATTGTAATTTTAATTCTAATTATAAAAGATATATTACGAAAATTCGCCTAAAGTTAAATTAAGAATCACAACTACATGTAATAATATAAATATATAGATTATATAATTTAATTGATACAAATAAATATGGCATAATTATTTGCTCGTATAAATACTAACAAAATTCATATAAGAAAATTATTAATGCTGATTAACGATTTTCAAACAAAAATTCAGTAAATCTCTCAGAAATAACCTAGGAATTCCTGTAAAAATTGTAAAATCCCCAAAATTCTGAATATTTTTAATAATTTAAAAATTAATTAAATAAACATTTAAATGCGTATATAAAATGAAATATGTATTTTAAAATATAACAAAAATTAATTAAATATGTGAAATTATTAACAATGAAAAAATAATAAAAACTGTATAAGCAAAATACATATTTTAAAAATGGATTTTTCAATAAAACCAATAAAATAAAAAATACTGGTTTAATAATGTCGTATTATTTGGGAATTATCACCGAAGCGAGTCACTGAAGACTACAATTAATAATTCAAATTGACGTTAATTGCTGTTATTGTCCTTCTTTAGAGTGGACTTGTCCACTTGTCTATCCTAGAACAGTTCCTCTTCTCTGCTCTTAATTTTCTTAATATTAATTTTGCTTAATTCTTATCTAATAGGCAATTAGGATGTAGAGCTCTCTTTTGATAAACAAAATTTTCGCTCTATATTTCGCTCATCCTTCTTTTGCTTCTGTATGGCGCAGGACCATGGACGTTATCACAGAATGATGAATCACCACTGGGAGTATTCGAGAGAAAAGTACTTTGTAAGATCTTTGGTACTCTACATCTACTTGTTCACTTGTCTACTTATCTATCCTGGAACAATTCCTCTTCTTTCCTCTTAACTTTCCTAACACTTTATTCTAATTCAGTAGGCAATTAGGATGTAGAGCTCTCTTTCGACAAACAAAATTTTCGCTCTATAGTTCGCTCATCCTTCTTTTGTTTCTGTATGGCGCAGAAGCTTGGACGTTATCATAGAATGATGATGCAGCACTGGGAGTGTTCGAGAAAAAAACTTTTCGTAAGATCTTTGTTTCTCTACGAGTTGGCGACGTCTAACGCAACTGAATGAACCACGAGCTGTACGCGCCTTATCACGATATTAATATAATTTAACGAATTAACATTCAGTGTCAGAGAATGGATGACGAAGCTTTAGCGAGAAAGGTATTTAAAGCAGTACTTGGAGGAAGAAAGCGTAAAGATAGACTGTGCCTCGAGTGGAGTGTTCAAGTTCAAGGGAGCACTGGCCGGACTTGATGTACGAGACTGAAAATTGGCGTGCAAGTGGCAGAGGTGTCTGTAGAGACATGTAAAGTAAATAAGTAAATAATAATTTAGATGAAAAAATGGAAAAAATTTGAATTATTAAAAAGAGGATTGAATTTGAAATAATATTTTTTTAAAATGGTAAAAACTTTCTAACTCTAAATCTAACTTAATATTTATTTTGTATATCATCTTCATTTTTTCAGAAACATTTTTTTTGTTAAACATTCCTTATTGGATATGAATAGTACAATCTTAACTATGAATTGTATTTAATAGATATTAAGTAAAACTTAAGCGGGTTTAGTGAACCAGTGTTCAGCTCCCATATTTTAACAAACATGTCTTAGAACTTTAACCCTAATCACAATATTTAGTCGAAAGAATGGAAAATGTTTTAATTATTAAATGGGTTTTCAAATCAGAAAGACATATTTTCCTAAACGCTAAATACTTTTTAGCCAACTTTATATGTACCTAATGTTAATTTTTTCTTGCCTAAAGTGACGCGAAAAGAAACTATTTAAAAGTTAGACAGGTCCAAATAGCAAAGTAAAGACAAACACAAAATTTTTTAGTTAATTGATCGAATTTTGGCTGACCATATACTATTTTCCTCTTTTCAAAAAATTGCTTTAGCAGTTTTGCCTAAAATCACCTCGTTTTTTTACTATAACACTGCTTCGAAACGATTTATTTAAAAAGAAATCATCTTGCCCACTTTAGCGAATTCGGTGATTATTCCCTTTACAGAAGGAGAGGGGAGGGAAGGGCCTTAACTATTATCAGTGTTCATATCCAAAATAAATTTCGACTGTTTATGTTTGTAATTATTTCGTCATAAAATGACAAATATCGAATAAAATTGTTTTTATTGAATTATAATTTGCTGTCGAGATATTGTATAGAGATATTGAGATATTCTATGTAAAAGAGTGTGTAGTATCTACGAAGCTTCTTCCGTTCGGTTGTATAGTAATTATGTTAGAGTGCCCTTTGATTGAAAGCGGTTGTAAATACAAGCGGTCATACAGCCGCTGCGAACCGAAAACGGGGCTACGTCGGACTGCGAACATCTGCGAAACTTGAATTCGATGTCAAAATTCCGCGGCTTTGGCTTCATTAGTCATAAGTTCAAGCAACTGATTTAGTCGTTTTCAGCGATTCGCCGGCATTGCACGGTTGTTTATGGAGATTAGCGCGGTCGTGTTGCAAAATTTTGTTTAAATAATTGGGCGTTTTGCGTGTTTATTTAAATGAAGTAAGAAAAAGTCCGATGAAATCCGATTTTGATGGAAGAGGCTTAGTTCTATTTTTGGATTTTGCATTAAGAACTAAATAATTAATGGGTTCGTTAATAATGGAAATACGTGAGAGTTTTGCGTACGAGCCGATGTTTTGGAAGTAAATTGAAATTGCAACACCTACAAAGTATAAACAAATTGGATCATTAATTAAACTGATAAGATAAATTTGCTTTTATACACGCTTTGCATAATTTTCTACAACAAAAGTAGAAGGAATACCAACGAGTATGAACCATTCGATAACTTTAATCAATGATGATTGAATTGTTTTTGATGCCTCCACAACGGAAAGTGTTGGAAGTGCTTGGTTTAGAAAAAAATATTTGTTCTCATGTAAAAGTGTTTCAATTAATTAGATTTCCCTGAATGAAGTCAGTATTATTTTCAGTTCCGACGTTGCCGGTTGCGGTGTTAGTAATTAAAAATACTTCAGTTCTGAATTAATTGTATTCACCGAAAACTGAAGGCTTCAAAAATAAATTTGCTAATTCGTATGCAATCCACATAAAATCACAAACAGAACGTTTTTTCTCATTCGAACGCAAAAAGTACAAATTAAGATATACATTTTAAATGTGATTTCATAAAAAAGATGTAGTGAATCAGTTTTAAGATTAGAAAAAAAATGTGATGGGAAAGTATTTAGCAAATAAATATTATTTTATTTGCTCAATTATGTAAATATTTTGGCTGGTACACTGTAAAATTTGCATATAAAGGCTTCATTCATATCGACATTTAAGTAAACTACACACAATAGGTAAGAGTCTATTATATTCTAAACGCTTTTTATTCAAGCGTTTCCCATATAATTTAAAAATTTTTTTTATTTAAATTTTATTATTTGATTTTTAAAAACATGTAATTTTCTAAAATAAATTTCAATTGATTTAATTGATTGATTTATTTGTTTAAATTTAATTTACAAATTAAATTTTTAAATTCCAGTCATAATAAATATATAATAAAATAATATAAATAGTATTTATTTTATATAATATTATATGATACGATAATTAATTAAATATTTTATTTGTTTATTTTTCAAATAAATATAATTTATTGCTTTAATAATTTATTGTTTTAACCACCAAAAATTGTGTTAATAATTATTTAATTTATATATTTTATATAAAATTACATATAATGATAATAAATTAAAAATTTTGTTAAATTAAATTATATTTTATTTATTTATTATTATTAATTATGATTTATTTTTTTAATAATATTTTATTATTATTTTATTTAATTAGTATTTTATTTTATAAAATATTTTATTTATTTATAATTATAATAAATTAAATACTATATTTGTTATTTTTAAAATAAATATAGTTTTTTGTTTTAATAATTTATTGTTTTAACCACCAAAAATTGTGTTATTAATTATTTAATTTATATATTTTATATAAAATTATATATAATGATAATAAATTATCTTCTTTGTTTATTTTTTAAATAAATATAGTTTATTGTTTTAACGACCAAAAAATTTTTTTTTTAATTATTTAATTAATATATTTTATATAAAATTACATGTAATGATAATAAATTAAAAATTTTATTAAATTAAATTATTTTTATTTATTTTTTATTATTATTTATTATTTATTTATTAATAATATTTTATTATTATTTTATTTAATTAGTATTTTATTTTATAAAATATTTTATTTATTTATAATTATAATAAATTATATACTATACTTGTTATTTTTAAAATAAATATAGTTTATTGTTTTAATAATTTACTGTAATAATTATTAATTATTTAATTTATATATTTTAATTAAATTATATATATAATTATAATAAATTAAATATTTTATTTGCTTATTTTTAAAATAAATGTAGTTTATTGTTTTAATAATTTAATATTTTAACGACTAAAAATTTTATTATTAATTATTTAATTAGTATATTTTTATAAAATTATATGCTATGATAATAAATTAAAAATTTTATTTGTTTATTTTTTAAATAAATACAGTGTATTGTTTTAATAATTTATTATTTTAACGATCAAAAATTTTTTTATTAATTATTTTGTTTTTAATTATTTTCTTTTTATTTTTTTTAAGTCTTATATTTAATTTATTTTAAGATTTATATTTAATTATTGCTACATTATAAGAAATATTAGATCAAATTAAATTTAAAAAAAAAATTTTTTTTTAAAAAAGTGTATTATAATATTTATGTTACTGTTAACCTCTATAGTTATGTGTATTAAATTTTGTCGGGCTTCAGGTCGCGTTTTTAAAAATTATATTATTAAATAATAACTTATACCTATTATAAACTTAAGATTAAATCACAGTTTTTTACTTATGTATATATTTATTTAATATAAAAATATAATTTTTAAAAACATGACCTAAAGCCCGGAAAAATTAAAAGACTATTGATCAATTACTCGTTTAACAACAAAATTATTATTAAATAAATATATAAATCGAGGATTGCTCAAAAATGGTTTTAAGTCGAATTATGGTCAGAGATATTGGATTCGAATTACAGTTTCAAATAAAAGCTTATAGACTAATACAATAAAATTCACTAACAAATATTAAACGAATTAGAAATAGAATAGGAAGATAATATGAAATACTTGGTCTAGCTTTTGATAGAAGATATACTTGATTTAAAAGATCAGTAATGATTACAATGTGTCCATCGCCTGAATACCAAGACCTAGTGACTATCACTGTACCATTACGCGCCAATTTAAATGGTTCAGTTTTATCAGTTATTCTTAAGATATTTTAATCAGTTCTTCATTTCTCTGAATCAAAGTTCTACAGTTGGATTTTTGAAACTGATTGCTTTGATTCTCTGTTATTATTAAATAAATCAGTTTAATAATGGAAACTATTACTAATAATGATCTACTATCTAATCTTATCTAAATATATCTATCTAGATTATCTAGATTATCTATATATCTCAATGTTATCCACTAATCAGATATTTAGGGGATCTGAATATCGACCTAACTATAAAGCAGAATTATTAGCTGTTGCTGCTGTTATTGTTTTTATTATAATGTATGCATGTATGTGAAAATATAAAAGTATTTAAGAAAGAATAAAATTTTACTTACTGATATAACCTATTTTATACAATGTTAAAATATTTATAATTCTCACACCATTTGTAGAATATCAACTATATAAATATTCAAATTGGAATTCAAGAGTGGAGTTTTTTTAATAAAGTTTTTTAAGAAAGTTTTTTAACGAAGTTATAAGTATTAGTATCACTATTCTCCTGAAGCTTTTAATATGTAGAGCATCAAGTATGTAAATATCCGAGTTGGGGTTCAGAAATGATATTATATAATATTAGTAGACGTACTTTGCATAAACATTTCCTTTAGAAATATATTATGAAATCGCTGTTCTGTATTTTTAAGCTACTGATATTAGCTGATATCTTGTGTTCTAATTGTTTATAATAGAGCTAAGCTGATGATTGTCTTATGTATACATATCACAACAGGTCAGTTATGATTAGGTCGGTTCTGAAATGTAAAATCGTTATTCTAATCTATACAAATTTATATGTAAATAAGACAAATACGTTTATGGTGATATAATTTATGATATAAACTAGCTGACCCGGCGAACTTTGTGTCACTCACTCGTTTCTAATGATCGAACAAGAGCAGTGTGAACTCGATCTCTTTCTTGCCTAGTTTTTCTCTGTTAATTGTTTCTGAAGCTCGTTCTTCTCTTCTCCTTTTTGCTTGATTTTTAGTTCGACCCACGGTTGCCACTTGAAAATTTTTTTTTGTACCAAAATTGGTTTAAAAAGGTACCATTTCTGTAAAGAAAGGTCCAACATTTTTTTGGACCTTTTTGTTTTTTCGTTCTGTGTTTTTCATAGTGTTATAAATGAACAAAATATAAAATAGTGCAAAGTTGCATTTATAAAAAAAAATTAATTGGAAATATCCACAATAAAGTTGGGTCGTCAAAAATGTACCATTTTTTGAACATGAGTACCAAACGAACAAAAAAGTACCAATTTTGGTACTAAAGTACCATAAGTGGCAACCGTGGTTCGACCGATGGCACTTCGCTTTGGTGGCATAATTGTGGTGTTAAATAAAACGTATTTCCCTCTGATTTTAATAAATTAAATTAAATAAATTTTTCTATATCATTTATTATATTTACTCAAAACTAAACTAAAACACAAACTGTACGAATGTAAAAACCAAACTGTCTTCTCACAATCTAACAATCTAGGATTGCTAGATTGTTTTAAATGATATTGGAAATTATATTACAGAATACACTCTTACCAAAATATTACTAATTAAATGAACCTAGAACCCCAACTCTGATTTTAATAAAAATTCGCAAAAACCTTCTCGGGGATATATCTATGTTTATAATTTCACGGTGATTGGATGTATGGTTTTTGAGTCCATCGAGTACAAACGACGGGCAGATAGACAGACAACATTCATTTTTATATATATACGAGTAGATTGTCATAACATAAATGGTTGACCATTTCGTTGTCCTGATTTGGCAGCACAAATCATTTGATTTAATGATTTGTCTTGAACAGAAGTGCATTTAAGGCATCATGTATATATTGAAAGCTTGCCTTTTTGTAATATGGAACGTTTAATAACCATTGAATATATTTTGAAAACTTACTACGAACACTGTGAAGGGTTCTTACATTGCATTTTCTTTATTGAAGATACTTATTTTTTGCTTGGAGGATATGTCAATAAACAAAATTGTTGCATTTTGCATTTTGTTCTAAAAGTAATTATCGAAAGATCATTGTATCCATAGAAAGTTAGTTAGTAGGGCATTTAGTTTGAAAGTATTGTAGAATTCTATCTTTTGGAAATTTGGAAGGAGTGGTACATAGTCATCAATTTTTCTTCTGCGTAAAGTTGAAGATATGGTTGTAGAAAATATTTAGGTTCACCTAAATGTGGTATACCACAACTACACATTACGTACTGTTTAAACATTGTTGCGACAAAATAAGTCCTATCCGATTTGTTACCATTGGCTTTTTTGAAACTACATAAATAATCGTATTTATGAGGAGCTATCGACATTTTGAAATCGATAAGCCATCGAAACGATCCAGTACTGTAATATGTTCCGCAGAGAACATTTGTACGATGTTGTTTTCAGTTTTAATGGAAAGG